TAGAGGCCCAGGGGACTTAGTAAGTCGGTTATAAGTAAGGTTATAATTAAGGTAACTCCATTTAGGGTACTTATAACTCTACTTATAACCTACTTACTAAGTCCCCTGGGCCTCCAAGTAGGGTTTAGGGTTTAGGGAAGCATAGTAAGACGATCAGGCCCATGCGCCAGCTATACTAAACCAGAATACCCAGAAGAAGCCCTGTGTACTTCAACCTTGCTTGTTGTGTATGTTTGTATGCACACTCGTACACACACACACACCTATACCTACATACAACTATACATACATACATACATACATACATACATACATACATACATACATACATACCTACATACATACATACATACATACATACATACATACATACATACATACGTGCATGCATACATACATCATCGTTTCACTTTAGGAAGGGGACGCTGAGCCCTCTCATGCGGGGTTCAGGGTTTGGGATGGCGCAGGCTGCAGCAACAGATTGACCACGACGAATACGTGGGCCTTAGGATGGCTGGTTTTCTCAGGCAGAGATTCTGAAAGGTGATTCGGTGGACTGCCGGCACCTACTTAGACCTACTTCGTACGTGCTTGCGAAACACATGTGTAACGCGAAGCCGCGGCGGTGGGGGGGTCTGGAACTGGCACCAATCCCGACTATCGAATTACTCAATCTTCAGTTATCTAGTTATGTTCCGTGATTTCGTAAAGGCTAGTTGCTAGAGATTCGGGTTCTGAAGATATCCTTCCATGGCCAATACTTCACTTGCACATGAAAGCCTAAGCCTTCCATGCCCCAAGCCCTGAAGCTGCTGATGCGGCTTTAGTTGTAGGGCACAGTGTCTTTGTATGTAGAGACATATGAATGTGTAAAGGCATACATATATAAGTATACACGCAATTTTGTATATGTACAAAAGCATCCAAACGTATACATGCACATACACCGAAACCGTCCAGCCCCAACGCCCCAAACGGCGCTCTACTCTTCAAGGTGCAGCTTCCTCTGGATTCAGTGGCATCTCGGCTCTTGAAGGGGTACAGGAGTACTTTTCAGATTCGTTGAATCTCGGAGTCAACGAAAACATGCCACCTGGCCCCATGGCCCCCCCTGGCCCCCCCTCGGCCCCAAAACCCTATTCTCATTATTAAGGCCCCTACATTAGGGCCTGATGGGTGCTGCGCAGGAGTGTCCCACTGTTGTCCTTGCAGAAGTAGGATACAGTCTACTTCCAATCCTTATTCTGATGCTGAGGCCCCTAAACCCTAAAACCCTAAACCCTGGACCCTAAACTAAACCCTAAACCCTAAACCCTAAACCCTAAACCCTAAACCCTAAACCCTAAACCCTAAACCCTAAACCCTAAACCCAAACCTTCAACCCTAAGCTCTGAACCGCAAACCCTAAACCCTAAAACCCTAAGCCCGAAGCTTCAGAAGGTTTGTGTTTCAGCCGTGCGTACCTAGTGCACTCAGCAGCAGTACGGTTTGGGTTGTGAATAATGCAAGGGCCCTAATAGTTTCCAATAGGGTTTAGGGGGGTTCCTTATTATATAAGAGTCATACTGTAGGGACCTAAATAATTACCAACACTATTTTGGGTGTTCCTTAGTATCATTACAGTATAATGGGCCCCCATACCTTATTCTAATTATTAAGGCCCCTACGTTAGTTTCACCGTGCCTGACTGCGTGTAGCCAAGCCCGGCCGAGAGGTGACGCCGTGAACATCCTAAACTCACTCTCTAAGGGCTTTTGGAGGGACCCTTAATAGGGACCCTTGTAGGTTATTGGGGTTAGTATGGAGACTACCTGGCTATATAAGGGGTATGTAAGGACTATACAATGGTTATTTAAGGTAATGGGATTAAGGGTCCCTATTAGGGGTCCCTCCTAAAGTCCGTAGACACTCCTTGAATTCTCAGCCCCTCAACCCTAAACATCAGAACCCCAGAACCCTCAGCCAAAAGCTCCAAATCCCTACAGAAATCCAAATCCCCAAGACCCCATCACCTGAGCCCTAAAGCGGGGTTTAGGGTTTAGGGTTTAGGGTTTAGGGTTTAGGGGAGCAAACTCTGCAAGATCTTCCACCACGAGGCTCCTGGCCATGCCCACCATGCCAGCTTCGCAGCTCGCCTTGGGGAAGATTCTCACAGTAGTGTAAGGGCCTAAAAAGTTACGAAGACTATTTTGGTGGGGGGTTCCTTGTTATAGTTATAGTATAATGGGCCCAAAAACCCAATTCTAACTATCAAAGCCCCCGAATATAGAACCCTATCATAGATCCCTATAAAGGAACTCTATTCTAATTATTAAGGCCCCTATATTAGTTGTTTCGTCCAGGGCCTTCGACAACCTCGTTCCATCTCTGAAAGGCTGTCTCTAGGGGTTTGAGACTATCAGGGCCGGAATAGACAGAAGAAGGCTTTGGGGTAGATGATGCTATGACGAATTATCATATATTCTTTCATAATATGTTATAATATTTTATACGATAATCTCTTATATCATATTATGTTACATTATATTGTTAGATAGTATATTGCGACCCAATGTGCTGCTACGGGTTGGCAAGTGGTTTGTACGACCCAAGAGCAGGCCCTCCTTTTCGCTCCGATATCTAGCTAGTATATGGGTAGTTCTCGAAACTGGGGTCCAGTTTTGGGGCTATATGGGTAGTTCTCGAAATTTGGGTCCCTTTGGGGGTTCCTTTTTATAAGGGTGTCGTACTATATTTGGGATCTGAAAAGGGATCCTAATTTAGAGAACTACCCATATGGAAATTTACAACCGACAGCAACAGACAGCAATATCGGGGACTTAGTATCAACCACAACAGCAATATTGGGGACTTCGTATTTACCACAACAGCAAGAGGAAAATCCAGGCGATGGCATCAGGGTTCATCTGAAGGATGTGGGGGCATGGAGCTTTTTTTGCTGAGAATGCCCTAATACCAATTAGGTTGAAGAAGCCAGGAATGTCATTCTGCCAATCCTCAACCGCCCTCACGCCGAAGAAAAAGCTGCACCCTACTGAACAGAAGGAACAGCTCAGAATGAGGTCGGAGTAGGCAGCGATACTCCAACCATGTGGTCCCCGTATGGTTCTGCCTCCATGCATCCCAAGACCCTGGTGTAATCTTTAGGGCCGAAGTTTTTTTTGCCCGAAGTCGGAAACCCCCGAGGTGGGCGACAGCACAACGGGCAACAGGGCTCCTTCTGTACAGCTGCCCGGGAGCCAAGATTGAATTTCTGTTCTTCGGGATCTGATGGGCCAGTAGAATACAGTAGAAGCCCAAAAGTTGGAAACCCAAATAGCCTCAATCCTGAAGAGTAATGTAAAAGGAGCCCCAGCACTAATTGTCCTTCATCCGGTTTCCAACTTTTTGGGGTTTACTATATACATCTATAGATAACTTAATTATGTAGGGAGGTTCTAAACCTCGTACATCTACTACCTTTGTCATCTTAATTCTCAGAGTATCGTCCAACTTTCTGTGGCTAAACCTTTCAAATATCCACAATGTAGGTGATATACTGATGTAAAAGCCCTGATTAAGAAACTGCTTGTCTTTGAGGGCTGTAACATGAGGATCCCGGATAATCCCTTGTAAGATATACAGGGGGGACATATTGATCAATATTGATCCAGGTTCGAACTTTCTCGCTGGGTTGCGGACTAACCTAATCTTGAGGTACCTGGAGCCTCGCAGAATTTTTGTGTGAGGTTCCAGTCATTAAATCGACGATGGACGCCGACAGGCGGTGGTTGGCCTACTTGGGTTTTGAACGGCTGCCTCTGAGTCTCTTTCGGGGTGCTCTTTGTGCGTGCCGTTGTTTAGGTCTCAGCTTGGGTTGTTTAGGATATGAAACGCTCGATGGGCTCATATATAGAGAGTTCACGCACGGAGGCAGCTTTACCAGCCGAAAAAGCCACAAATACGTTCTGGATTCCCTGCGAGAAACAGCTGCGCTGCCTGTTGATTTTGCCCTGTTTCGTAGTGTTCTGCGTCCATGTGGGTGGTTGTCAAAACTATGGTCCCCTTTTGGGTCCTTATTATAATACGGCACCTATTATTTAGGGTACCCCAAAAGGGACCCTAATTTTGACAACTATCCATGTAGAGCTACATCTGCTGTTAGAATCCCTGAATCCCAGCACCATCTGAAGACCCAAGCTAAAAGCCCCTCAAGCATTGCCCCAGAAGCTCGTACAATCTCAGATCGTAGATCTCAAAGAGTTCCGGGTAATTTATGGGGCCTTAATAGTTAGAATAGGGTTTTGCGGTATATTCTACTATGGTTATAATAAGGAACCCCCAAAGTAGTATAGGTAATTGTTAAGGCCCCTATATTAGCTGGGCCAGGTTTGTTCTTGCTACTACCGACACGGACGTCTGCTGCACCCCTCACAGAGGCCAATGTTGCTTGGCTGCAGGCTGTTCCATTCTCTGGGCTTTGTGCCACTCCGCTGGTTTCAGTTGGCGGATGAAGGGAGGAGGGCTGTCTCAAGCATTGTCGAGGCTCAAAACCCTAGGTCCAACCCCCTAAGCCCTAAACCCCAAACCCCAAACCCTGAACCCTGAACCCTAAACTAAACCCTAAACCCTGGGCAATTCCTAATCGAGCAGGCCTTGGACATGGGGTTTGAAACTGCCTTGATAGCATCTGTCCATGGAGCACCTAAACAAATATAAACCCTGCATTTTCTTAGGGTCCAGGGTTTAGCGTTTAGGGTTTGGGTTTTGGGTTTAGGGGTTTATGAAGTAAATTTCCGCATTACCTTATGGTATATTCCTAATTATGGGTAATGCAGCATTGATATCATCAACCGTATGGAAGCATGAGTACTTGGCAATCGTATTCCCTTGTAACCCATCTTGTGTCTACAGTCTGTCTACAGTAGAGTACGTATTAGGTCCTATCTTGCGATGTTGAGCTAGCGCTTGGGATGCCACTCTAAGGGTCCAAGTACCTGCAATCATATACTCTGCCAAATATTGATACTGCTGATGGACAAAATCCTGCATGACCCTATATACCTAAACTATGGGATTTATGGTACTATACTATACTTAGGTCATGCAGGATTTTGTCCATCAACCGTAGCACACAGGGGCATTGAGATCCCAGTCTGCTCGATGTTGAGCACTGATATGACAAGCCGCTGGTCCAGAACTGATCGTTGTATGCTGTGGTGGCCAGCTTAAGTTCAGGATTCGCCACAGGCTGACGAAGAAATATGCAGGAGAGTTATTGCCTACCACGGGCACACTTTCCACATACCACGCGCATGTGTCATGCAGCCTCAACGAGATCCCTTACACACTCCTTTAGAACTGTCCTGTGATCTGTCGCGCCGCATACATACCCCACTTGGAGGTTCATGGGTAGTTATAAGTGGGGCTAAAAGTTCCCTAATATGGGTTATAAGTATAGTTACCCTACTTATAACCCCACTTATAACTACCCATGAACCTCCAAGCAGACATTATGAAGTGCCTAATCATCTGCTTGAAGCCCCCGCGGGTCTTTGTACTACAGCCCCACCAAGTGGGAGTTTTCCGAAAATAAGGGGTACCTTATTTTGGGGGTCCTTATATTAAGAACCCTACTATCTGGGTACTATATTAGGGTCCCCTATTTTCGGAAACCCCCCAAATGCTCCTTCAACTCCAAGGCAAAGTGGAACGTCAACCTAGAGGACAGATTTGGACTATGCTGTGTCCGATATTTCGGATTTGAGGATTTAGGGTTTACAGTGGTCAGGGCTAATTCGGGTTTGGACGATCTCAAGAACTTGTTTCAGGAGCAACACGCCGTTCCACCTTGCGCTAACATTAAAGTATTCGTCCCACCACCGCAGTTGCTACTGTAGCACCTGAGCACAGTGCCACGAAGCATTTCTACCAGTAGCAGCCTTCGCGATTTTGATGCAGCAAGAAGCGAAAGACAGACCACATCATCTGAAACGAAGCATCCGAAAGCTGCGCATAGAGCAGGACCCCAAGCACCAGGACCTTTCTGAAGTTTGACACTATCCCTGCTGTGGGCAACATTAAATCCAAAACGGAAGCAACCCACCAGGAGCGCCATGCGCCGGAAAGCTATCGAGGTGCACCGCAAACCCTAAACCCTAAACCCTAAAACCGAGACCCTAAACGCAGTTTGTCCTTGGGGATGTTTCCTCATTGAAACACCGGGTTCGCCAAGCTCGGATACGCAGGTATGCCTCCCCATCCTGCACCTGTCTTAACGGTATAATGTAGGGGGCCTTCATGATCAGAATATGGTTTGGGGGGGTCCTTTATAGCATATTTATAGTAAGGAACCCCCCAAAAGAAAAAACAGTATAGGTATCTGTCGAGGCCCCTACAGTCTTCTGGTTTTGTTGCCTAGGGTTTTCGGGTTCAGGCTTTAGGCTTTGTGATTCCGGATCGGTTGGGGTTCAAGGTTTTTGGTGGTGCGGTTGTTGTGTTGGTGTCGGGTGTAGTACTCATTAGGGTGTGGGGTGTGGGGTTTTTGGGTTTTAGCGGGGTTTAGGGTTTAATGTAGGGGCCGAAATAATTACCTGTACTATTTTGGTGGTTCCTGATAAAAAAATAAGAGTATAGCGGGCCCCAAAACCCTATTCTACTTATTAAGACCCCTATATTACTTGGGGCCAACACTTCAAGAAGGTTCAGATCCACTGCGCGCTCTTACGCACTGTCTCATTCCGTCGCAAACTGCATTCTCGGCTTGAGCTGGAGACCTGAGCAATTAATTGCGCCAGGGCCTTCCGTGTTTTTGCTTGTGAATATATAGTAGACCCAAAAAAGTTGGAAACCGGATTAAGGACAAACAGTGTTGGGATTCCCTATACATTACTCTTTAAGGATTGATGCTGTTGGGTTTCCAACTTTTGGGCTTCTACTGTATGGGAGGGAGGGCTCTGTATTAAGTAACGCCTCATAGTGCCAGAGTCGTGCAAGACCACTGCAGGTGAGTGGAGAAATCACACTTACTTCCCGTCTCCTGGCGACTGGCGCTCCCTATCCATCTACCAGCCTCCCGGTGGGACAGGGGAGCAGTTTACAAGACTTTGACCCTAAACCCTAAACCCTAAACCCCTAAACCCTAAACCCTAAACCCTAAACCCTTTGGATTCAGTTGGAGCGGCTTGTTTCTTGAACTGGAAGGCTACAGAATGCCTCATAGCCTTGTTTCATTGAAGAACCAGTGCATGCCGTGCCTGCTATAGTTTACCCAAGGACCCTATTCCTGCACAGTCCCAACACCCCCCCTTGTTGTACTAGGACTCAGTAGCTGAGTGAGTACACTTTACACTTTTTGGGGATTATATGATCCCTTATAGAACTGAAAGTGTACACTTTTTGGGGCTTATGAAATCAGCAACTAAGAGGGTGTACCCCATAATCTAGCATACCCCCTAGTTCTTACGGCCCCCAAAAAGCGGGGCCCTTTGGGGCTTCTTTGCTGATTCAGCGCTCAACGCACACTAAGCTCAACCCTAAATCCCTATAACTCTACACCCTGAACCCCAGACCCTAAACCCCTATAACCCTTGTAACCCTAAACCGCCATAACCCTGAACCCCTAAGCCCTAAACCCCTAGAATCCGGAACCCTAAAACCTAAACCCGCATAACCCTGCACCCCTAAACCCTAAACCCCTATTATCCGGAACCCTAAAGCCTAAACCCTTATAACCCCTATAAACCTTATTAGACCCTTGACTAGACTCCTTAAATGGGCCTTATTAATCTTTTACTTCCTTAGATGGGCCTTATTAGACCCTGATCAAGTCCTTACCATTGCTGTTGAGGCACCCGTCCCCCCAAACCCTAAACCCCAAACCCTAAACCCTAAACCCTAAACCCCAAACCCTAAACCCTAAACCCCAAACCCTAAACCCTAAAGCCCCAAAAGCGGAGCGTCGAACCTCTACAGCAGAAGCCCAATTCTTGCACGCCGTGCTCAAGCCCGCAAGCTTGAATCGTTTTCATGGGTGTTTCCCGAACCTTAAATATGGGAATTTCCGAACATTAGGGTACCTTATTTTGGGGGTCCTTATAACAAGGATCCGACTAGTTAGGGTACTATATTTGGGTCCCCTATTTTCGGACACCGCCATATGGGGGGGGGGGGGTCGGAAGAATGAAACATTGTCTTCTGCTGTAGGTCTCTTATGAGTACGGTATAACAGAGCATACCCCCGCGAGCCCCATTTCTATCGTCGACCCCTGGGGATTTCCACCCCTAGGGTGCGGAGCAGGGATCCTGGTGTTGAGGCCCGTCAAGAAGAGGCCTTCAATAATTACCTAGAGGTTCCATTGTAGTTCCTTACATATGTAATGGTACCTTGTAATTCATGATGAGGGTCTCTTATAGTATCTTCTTATATAGCAATCGCCTTACTTGGAGGTTCCTGCGTAGTTATAAGTGGGGTTATAGGTAGGGCAACTATACTTCCAACCCATATTCGGGGACGTATAACCCCACTTATAACTACCCATGAACCTCCAAGTCATCAGGGGTCTGCATTGCTGCCCTATCAGCATCCCCTAAGCCTCAGGAAGGCAAGGACCATGTCATCAGCGGTGCGCTATAGATTACTTCCCATTCCCTAAAGTTTAGGGTGTCAGAGGGTGCTGGCGGGATGGGATTTTCGGTTACTGCCTTGTTTACTTGCTTGCGCACTGCCTTACGCGACACAAGGATCGTTATGTTGGTTAGCGATGTTGAGCCTGTCTCACTCTAAGCGTAGATTCACTCGGCGTTAAGCTTAGATTGTGCTGTAGATGTCCAGTTCTGTACACAACGTCTTTTTGCGAAAACCATGTCACACACCTACACACACGCACGCGCACGCCCACCTAGAGTCAAAATCCTACCTTCAAGTACTAAACCCTAAACCCTGAACCCTGAAACCTAAACCCTAAACCCTAAACCTACCCTTCACTCTTTACGAGAACCTGCGAGTTCCGAACCTGGTGCCTCCGAGGTTGATTACAGATCGCTTCGCCGATGGCGAGCCTCGCAACAATGACCTTTACCAAGGAGGCTCTCAAGGATCATCTTATACCTCAAACTACCAAACCCTACTTTTTTGCAGGTTCCTATTATAAAC